ACTTTTAAGGGACTGTTTCATATGGATTTATTAATCATTCTTACTGTTCAGTGAACGCAAACAGCCGTAGTTTATTAAATACGCAAACCCCTCACAGCACGACAGCTGCGCCTTCAGCAGACCTCCTCATTCCTGCAGCACGAGAGCTTTATGATTGTTTATGAGCGCCAAAAGTGGCGGATCTGTTCGGCGAAATATCTGACTGCGTGTTACCGCATCCCTTAGGACTGTTTGGTGAAATATTTGACTGCATGTCACTGCATAACAAACGACTGAAAGGATATAACTAGAGAAATCTCCACTGTGCTGCTGAGTGAGAGAGCGTTTCTCACTGAACAGCACAGCAGCGATGACGTAAGCGTGCCGAAGCCCGTTTGTAGTGTGAGTGCGGGCCGTTGGGGGAGACGGGAGGGGGGACAAGCGTGCTTTGGCCCGGTTCGAGGCAACTGTACCTAGTGTGAGTACGGCCTAAGACTCATTCTTTTTGGAGAACTTTTGTAGGACCCAGCAGACGTCATGAGACGTTAATATTATTTTAGATTTAGGACTGTCTAAGGAAAACGTTATTTTGATGTCCAATAATGACATTGACATTTGGTTGATTTTAGGTTGTGTTGGAAAGTGACCAAAATCCGACGTAGAGCCAACATCTTAAACCAACATCCTATTGACGTCAAATACTGACATTCATTCGTCAGGCATGGCAACCAAAATCCAACCGTCTGATAGACAGTTGAAGTCAGAATTATTACCCCCCCCCCACCCCCCCCCATTTTTTTTCCCCCAATTTCTGTTTAACGGAGGGAAGATTTTTAAAAACATTTCTAAACATAATCGTTTTGATAACTCATCTAGTTAATGTATAATGATGGTTTGTTCGGTAGACTATCGAAAACAAATTGAGCTTAAAGGGGCTAATAATTTTGTCCTTAAAATGGTGTTTAAAAAATTAATAACTGCTTACATTCTAGCTGAAATAAAACAAATAAGACTTGCTGCAGAAGAAAAAATATTATCAGACATACTGTGAAAATTTCCTTGCTCTGTTAAACATCATTTGGGAAATATTTAAAAAAGTAAAAAAATCCAAAGGGGTGCTAATAATTCTGACTTTAACTGTACGTCATATTGGTAACGTCCACACAACGTCAATCGTTAAAGGTGTGCCATCATTTGGGGATTGAACAATTATTGAAACGTTACCACTTTTATTCAACATGACTAAAGGCAAAACAATCAACTTTAATGTCATGTTGACTTTACCCACAGTCAGGTGCAGTGCTTATTGAACTAAAAAATCCTAATATATCAATCTACTAATAGTTTAAATGATCAAATGATCAGACGGTGATCATACTGTTGCATTAACGCCTCCCATGTTAGTCATTTTAATATTATGCGAGGATCCGCGGGCCTATCACCAATAGATGTTTTTGAATGTTATGCAAATCTTTAAAGCTTCAGCTCCTTGAGTAGGTGTAAGGTCCTGTTTTAGTGATCTGCTCTCAAACACGGACTGAAGGATGAAAAATACATTCAGGTACATTCATTAACATATAACTATTCAAATATGTGTTGCTGAAGTAGTTGAATGATGGGCAGCACGGTGGCTCAGTGGTTAGCACTGTCGCCTCACAGTTTGCATGTTCTCCCAGTGTTGGCATGGGTTTCCTCTGGGTGCTCCGGTTTCCCCCACAGTCCAAAGACATGCGCTATAGGTGAATTGGATTAACTAAATTGGCCGTAGTGCATGGATTTACCAAACTTATTCCTTGAGGGCCGGTGTCCTGCAGATTTTAGCTCCAACCCTAATCAAACACACCTGAACAAGCTAATCAAGATCTTACTAGGTATACTTGAAACACCCAGGCGGGTGTGTTGAGGCAAGTTGGAGCTAAACCCTGCAGGGTACCGGACCTCCAGGAATGAGATTGGTGACCCCTGCCGCAGTGTATGAGTGTGTACGGGTGTTTCCCAGTCCTGGGGTGCAGCTGGAAGGGCATCTGCTGAGTAAAATGTCGGAAAAAAAGCATCAGCATCACATACACACCTCTGAACCTCAAATCACTGGACCAGAGAGAAAAGATCAGTGCAAGACCTTTAATTCAACAAGGCATCGCCAATAAAAGAGTTGATTTATGTCCAGCCAACAAATTTAAATCTATATATATATAAAAACATCAATGAAAAAAAATACATGCATGGCATTTCGAATCTTTTTTGTTTTTTTTTTTTGCAGAAGAAATAAACTAAGCTATAAAAATAACATTGCATGCATATTAAACATTTGTTCAGACATTAGGAGGATAGATTTATACTCTGTTAAAAAAGTAGAATTTCAGAAAAGAACATTTGCAGTATAAAAATTGGGAAAAATGAATTCTAAACATACATACTTGATGTTTTGGATTCATGCATCACTGGACCACATAACAGCAACACACCAGCATATTTGAACGAGACGCAGCGAGCATAACAGCATCGACACCTTCAGAATAAAGTTAAAGGGATATTTCACCACAAAAATAAAAAAAGTACTCATTTAGGATGCACTCACACTATGCCATCCGAACCGTGCCCAGGCCTGTTTCCTGGATCGTTTGAGTGCTCTGAATCGGGCTCAGACGCAGTTCAGTTGGCGGGCCCTGGCCCGGTTGGAAGAGGTGTGGCAGAGCGTTTGCTGTGGATTTATTAATTATTCGTTCTGTTCAATGAACACAACTGTCATAGATTATTAAAGACGCAAACCCCTCACTGCATGACTGCATGAAACCTCCTAATTCCTGCAGCACGAGGACTTTATGATTGTTTATGAGCATCAAAAGTGGCTGATCTGTTCTGCGAAATATTTGACCGCGTGTCACTGCATCTCGAACGACTAAAACAATATAACTAAAGAAATCTCCACTGTGCTGAGCAAGAGCGCTTCTTACACTGAACAGCGAATCACCGTTGAGTGTGCTCAGGCTTGAATGCGAGGGTAGACGAGACGGGGAACAAGTGTGCTTTGGCCAAGTTCGAGGCCATGTGTACATAGTGTGAGTACGTCCTTACTCAGACTCATGTTGAGAGTGAGTAGGAATGTAACGATGTATTTTGGATTACTTTAAAGCTATCGGTAAAAATGTGAAAAAGCAAATAACGTTATTAATAACATAAAGGCAATAGCTGTTTCCACCCAAAAATAGGAATGAAAGGTATGCTAAAAACTAGAATATTGCATGAAACTAAGTATCGTTTCCACTCAGTCAGTAAAAAAGAACAAGATTTTCATTTCCTGATAAACTGGAGGCAAATATCAAAAATAAAAATGCAGTTTTGTGCTGTAGGAGAAGCCACTGGGGGGCTTTTTTCTTCTATAATAGACTTGTGCTTCAGAAGACGAAACTAATTGAACAGAAGACAGTTCTGGAGGTTATAATAAAAACAATACTGAACCACTGTGATGACAGACTTTGGCTGAGGGATTTTAGAATGAACAAAACAACATTTCTGGAAATGCTGGTTTGTCCATGAATGCGTCCCATCATGCACATTTTTATCATCACATGATCTGTTAAAACCAAAATCACATGATCTGTTAAAACCAAAATCACATGATCTGTTAAAACCAAAATCACATGAGTTTTTTGATGTGCATTCTGGAATTTATTTAGTAAAGGTGCTTTCATTTTAGTTTATGTGCATTTTTTCTGATCGGATAAAAAGTTTATCCTACACAGTTTTGCAGATGCATTTTCATGCGCATTTTCAAATTATGTGCACCATGCTCAGGCACCACCCATTGGTTACTTTGGGCTAAAACGAACCTTTCAGCTACTAAAGTGGAAGCAGCTTCCAGAAATGGTCAGATGTCCTCCAACATTAGGCACACTCAAATCAAGACTTGTTTAGATCTGGTTAGCTGTGAATTTACTGAATAAAAACTTTGCTACATCCAACAGATCACACGATTTTTGTCTTTCTCATTCATTTTAAATCGTTTAACACATTTTTATCTCTTTTCAGTCATTATGCTGCTTTGTTGTTTATATTTCTTTTACTTATAGTGTGGTTATTTTGATTCTTTTAATCTTCTTGTTTAAGTAAAGCACTTCGAATTACTATTGTGTATGAAATGTGCTAAATAAATAATCTTGCCTTAAAATGTCTTGGATGATAAAAGAAAACGACCGCACCAGGGAATAGATGTAGAGAAATTTAGAGGTGTGTGTGATGCAATTTAATCACGATTTAATCACGTTTTATCCCGATTATTGTCAGAATCGAAACAGAATTTTGATTCAATGAAAAAAATAAACACTGCCTTGGTTAATAGTATTGCAGTGAACGCGTAGCAAACTCGATTTTGTACATGCGTAGGTTACTAAGTGTTGACAGAGCATTATTTTATTTTGAAGTCGATTAAATTATTGGTAGGGACATTTCAGGACACGTTCCCTCCATCCATGCCAATTCTACGCCCTTGCGACAGCACTTTAGTTAGTCAATATTTTTCTGGAGAAGCTACATTTATATTGTACATATAGCAATAGTACTGGCTTAATTTGTTAAATGTATTAAATAAATTTGTTCTATTATACGTCAAATAAAAAGTAGTGTTTAAAAATCACCTTTAAAAATGTCATATATTTTTTATTTATTTATTCTATTTTATTATATTTAACTTATGCTTCTCTTAAAATGTTACACAGCTCAATTTTGAATGGATCTAATCCATGTTCAGTAAAATTAGTTCAATGCAGAAAAAACAACAAGACAATACTGCTCAGTACTCTATGCAATCGACCAGTTATCAAAGTTTTTATATATATATATATATATATATATATATATATATATATATATATATATCAGTATTTGGTTAATCCTACCAGTCCATCCTTATGAGTTTCTCTGTTCTGTTGAACACAAAATATTTAGAAAAATTTGGAAACTTGAAGCCACTGACATCCATTTTTTTGTGTTCAACAGAAGAAAGAAGCTCAAATAGGTTTAAAACAAATAGCAGAATTGTGGGTGAAGTATCCTTTTAACATAGTCTGATCGAAAAAGACTGCATGTCACAGCAAACCCCTAATTATACAAGTACTCATGCAAAGCTTCGTCGAGGATGGTCTTGGTCACACATCGGAGTTGGGACTGAGGTTGGCCAGCCCCGGGTCTGAGTTGATCTCGTATCTGTAATGGTATCCCTCCATATGATCTCTGCATGCGTCACGGATATTGTACATCCATCTCTTGATCCCTTTCCTGTTAAGGTAAAGGACCAGAAGGAAGATGACCCCAATGAGGGCAAGAACGAGCCCCAAAAACACATACGAGGGCTCCAGAACACGATTCAGCTCATCCACATTGTCGCTCCAGCATGGGAGCTGTGAGTGCTCCAGGTGTACGAGTTGGACATGTTTGAGTTCTCTGGGACTAGCACAGGTCAGATTCAATCTGTCCGTCACAAAGTCTTGTTTCTCCAACCAAAACAACAAGTACTCAATGTCACAATCACAGCGCCAAGGGTTTCCTGCAAGTCTGACTCGCAAATTAGGGATTGAATAGAGCTCTGATAGAGTTTCATTGGGCAGAGCTTTAAATGCATTGTCTCGTAAGTCCAACTCTTTCAGAGCTTTATTCTGAGATGTAACATTCCTGAAGGAAACAAGGGAGTTGTTCCTCAAATCCAAAAGAGACAGCTCTGATAAACCTGTGAAAATGCCCTCAGGTAGAAACACCAAGTCATTGTTGGACAAATCAAGGCGTGAAACCTTAGGAAGGCTGTGGTGGAAAAGACGTGCCAACACACCAATGTAGGAGTGATTGCGTAAGGATTTGCTGAAGTTCAGAACTTCAATCTTGTTGTCTTGATGTAAAGCCTCAATGCTGAAGTGTAAAATCCTGTTGTCGCTCAGGTCAAGCAAGCGCAGGCTTGAAAAATTTTGAAACGCCATGGAGTCCAACTCCTGCAGCTGGTTTCCCGACACATAAAGGTGCGTTAAATGCACCAGAGGTCTGGGGAAAGATGCATTGCTCAGATTCAATATGCGGTTTCCATTGAGATTGAGTGTGGTGATGTTTTCTGGAAGTGGCTGTGGGACTGATGTCAAGTTTTGGCTCTCGCAGTTCACTACAGTGGATTCGCACAAACACTGGGCAGGACATGTAGATAAAGATGAGCAGGAAGACGTCAGGAAGAGTAAAAGGCAGAGAGTCAGGTTACACATGCTCCTTTGTTTTGTCTGAAGTTGAAGCAAACGCAATAATCCAACATTCGACATTTTGACTCGATTGAAATCAAACGGCGGGGAAAAAAAGTTCTCTTCAGAGATGAAAGGAACGAGCTCACGAGACAGTAAAATCACACATATTTCTTAGTTTCTTCCTTCGAGGTGTATTATAACTCCTTAAATGCCTTGCAACTTAGTAGAAAGGCGAAAAAATGTAACGAGCTTTTATAATATGCTCGTCAAAATCGCAAGTTGTAACTTCTTAATGGAGTCCTTCTGAAAACAAATATCTCTCTCCACGAGTTTCTTCAGAAGTAGTGCACAATGTTCCTATACAAAAACACCAGCTTGTTATTAAAGTTGCTGGTGGGTTAAAGAGAAACGGCGGATCCGCGAAGCTATAAAGGTGTTTTTCTCCGTGTTTTTGTGTTGTAATATTGGCGGCTCTTCATCTCCGTGTCCCGCTGCGTCTGCTTGCGCCGCTCGCCGTGAATGATTCTCCCCCGCCGCTCCCTGAATCCACGTTGAGCACAGCTCACTGGACTGTGCCATTACAGGCGCACGGGGGGAGTCCAGGACCACACACACACTTCATTTTTTTTTTTAGATGAATGCACATATAAATAATAATAATTAAAAAAAATCCAGCGTTTTTGTTTAAATATATTTTAAATTTGGCTATGAAACATATTTGTCTGGTAGTGATCATGCTCTCGATCTTTTTGTTATAACTTTTGGTGTTACATTTTAAGTTTTTACAACTTTCATAAAAATAAGTCCCTAAAGACAATACCTAGACCTTTTCTTGCTGAAATTTTGTTCATTGCTGAATCTCCTAACTTATGAATAATAAAAATAACAGTAATTATTATTATTATCATTGTTAATATTATTAATGATTAATATAATAATAAATATTATATTAAACAACCAATAACTGGGCTGCACCTTGTAGAACATCCGCTGTGTAAAACATATGCTGGATAAGTTGGCAGTTCATTCCGCTGTGGTGACCCTTGATGAATAAAGGGACCAAATGAAAATAAGGGAATGAATAATGATGTTTTTTAAAGTTTATAATATTTTTTTTAATGATGGATGCTTTGTAAAGATTTTCTCTCTCTCTTTCCCAACTTGTGTTACTGTATTTTCTCTTCAATGCAGTTGTTATTTTTCTTAAAGGGATAGTTCAATAAAATACCCAACACGTTCTTTAAATTTAGGCCTATATTTTTCATTTGAACATTTTGTGTATATGTTAAATTTCTTTAAGTCCTTTAATATTCAAGTGTTTAATTTGCAAATAAGAAAATCAGTGACAATCTCTAATCATAAAAAATAAAAACGCGAGGAAATTAAACTATTTATTAATGTAGTTGGGTAATTTAGTTGTTGAGACATTTGATAAACACTGTAAGTGTCATATAGAAATTAAACTGAAATTAAACAATATTTTGTATTGTTAAAAAGTTTGAAAAATTAGATGATGAAAACATACTAAAGTAAAGTTCACAGTTCTTTATGCAGGTGAAGTAATATATATGGAATTTCATGAGTAAAACATATGGCAGAATAATTTGGCCGTTCATTCTTCTTTGGGGGGTGAGTATTAGCTAAATAAATGTTATAACAAATAATAAATAAATTACAGTGTACATAATACATCTTTAACTAATAATAAAGCTATATTTTTCCGATAGTCTACAGAACAAACCATCATTATTCAATAACTTGCCTAATTGCCCCAACCTGCCTAGTTAAAAATATTATTTACTGTCATCATGGCAAAGATAAAATAAATCAGTTATTAGAAATGAGTTATTAAAACTATTATGTTTAGAAATGTGTTGAAGAAATCTTCTCTCAGTTAAACTGAAAACTGAATATATAGGCAGCACGGTGGCGCAGTGGGTCGCCTCACAGCAAGAAAGTCGCTGGTTCGAGCCCCGGCTGGTTTAGTTGTCGTTTCTGTGTGGAGTTTGCATGTTCTCTCCATGTTGGTGTGGGTTTTCTCCAGGTGCTCTGGTTTTCCCCACAAGTCCAAAGACATGCATTATGGGTGAATTGGGTAAGCTAAAAATTGTCAGTACTGTTTGTTTGTGAATGAGAGTGTATGGGTGTTTCCCAGTGATGGGTTGCAGCTGGGAGGACATCCGCTGTGTAAAACATGCTGGATAAGTTGGCGGTTCATTCCGCTGTGGTGACCCCAGATTTATAAAGGGACTAAGCCGAAAAGAAAATGAATGAATGTATATATATATAAAAATAATAATAACAATAAATAATAAAAGTGAAATAAAAAATTATGATTAATTTTAACATAGTTTTGTTGAATTAATAGTTTGGATAACCGACTTATATAATCTGATTCCATAATTTGTATTATTATGATATATAATCATTTGATTATTTTATTCTAATAATTCAAGTGTTTATTATTATTATTTTGCTTAATTTATTAATGCTGCTCATTTATTTAATATTTTTATTTTATGTGGTTTTAATATTTTTTCTCCAAACATTTCTACTGGCGCCTAGCAGAACTTGGCCAACTGGGGTTCCTCGGATGGACCCCAGCATGAACACCTCTGGATTAAAACAATGGAAAGATCTTTGATTTATCCTTCTTATCATACAAATGTGTGTGTTTTTTTGTAATTCTTATGCATGCATGTAAGCTATGTCTGCATGTTTGTACTGTCATTTTTATTTTTAATTGCAATTTTAGAACACAGAACATACAACAAATATAACAAAAAATATACTGACATCAAAACAAATACAATATAAAAAGAAAAGAAAAAAATACAATTATTCAAAGACTAAATTTAAGGCTTTAAAATAATTAAGTTATTTTTTCTTTGGTATTTTTTGTTTCTTTTATCGTGCATAGGTAGTGACCTATTTCTGTTTTAAAGTGAGTAAAATTTGTTTTTTTCACTGCCAATTTACATTTATGAATAAAAATGTTGCATATATAATGAGCAATATTTGTACTGTCATGTTACTTATGTTAAAGGTATGTCCCCTAAGCCCCGCCCTCATGCTTCTGACGCAAGAGACGGGACTCCCTTGCCAACTCTTCATGTCATTGAAAGTAGCATAAAGCGGAGTCTGTCAAATAACCCATTTAACGTATATCACAAATAATAAGAGATCCTCCATTAAAATAATCCGTATGTTTGTGTCGCAAGCTCAGGATATGGTTTTAAAGTATTTTCCTTGCTGTACCGTCCAACGCAAAATGACAATACAGTCTGCAGTGGAGCTGTCCAATAAAATGTCAGGATAAATGTTTTACGGGCCAATCAGAATTCGTTTTACTCTTGCATGCCTCAAATAGCTCTTACTTAACCGTCTAACTCTGCGGCAACATATTTAGCGTTATTGTAAAACACCAATATTCCGTTTAAAGATGTTTTACTGGATTTGCCGTAAAGATGGAAACACAAACAAGGCCCTTTCTTTCATCTAGCATCAGGTGAGTGAGCGATAGCAGCAGTAATTTAGCATAATTCAGTCCAATATGGTTCATACAATGATGATGTGTCAGTAACTCATATCGCACACTTCATGACCGATTCAACCATTTATTGTGTGAAATAATACTCGATCAGCTCGTGTTTTAGTGGATTATGTGATTTCCCGGGGTACATCACAGTGTTTGTTTTGGTTTGTATTTATTGTTGTCCCAGACTGACGTCGAGTGAGTCAGAAATTAGCATTTTCCAAATGTTTAACGGTTAAATCATACATATAAATAAAATATTAAAGTGTGCATTCACGATCGTATAATTAATGCTCATTAATATCCTGAACCGAATGCTGTAAAACCGAGGCTGAAGCCATATTTAGCTGATGGAGGAGGTATTTGTTAGGTGTCAAACTACATCAGCTCTCTCACACTTGACAATGATCACTGTGTTTTTAGCTGTTAGCTATGTGTGCTTTTTAATACCATGTCCATTAATAGTTTTGGTAACACTTTAGTTTAGGTCACAACTCATGCTATTAACTACTGGCTTATTACCTGCCTATTATTAAGACATAAACTGTCTTTAGTAGTTATAAAGGTAAAGATAGTTTTATATTGGGATATTCAGATATTCTCCTAAATAATATAGTTTCAGAGAAGTATTCTCTGCAAATTTTAAATAGGGAAATCATATTAGCAGCAAATGACCATGAAAGTAAAACATTGTTCAGTCAATTAAATAGTGTTAATGTTGTTTGGAAGTCATACTTGCATGCTAATTCAGATCGAATATTCAAAGTACTATGGTAAACAATAGAGAAACTGCTAAAAGAACGAAAGTGCGAATAAAAAAGCAACTTTACCTCTATCTTATTCTGCATCCTTAATCCTGCCCAAAAGCTAAACACAACTGCTACCTTACTACTATCTATTAATAAACAGGTTATTAGTGGTTTATTAAGCTAGTTGTGTTAGTTAATGGTTTCTTAATACTGGGAATTGTGACCTAAACTAAAGTGTTACCATAGTTTTTTTATGAAACGTTTATGTAACGCTATTTGCATTACACCTCACTACGAAATTGTATTATTCTTGCCATTAAGTTTTTAAATTAGGTAAAGTTGGCTTTATATTCGCACATTAGAACTTTCTCCTTGATAATGTAATTTCAGAAAAGTATTACTGGCAAATTCTAAATAGGGAAATCATATTAGCAGCAAATGACTATGAAAGTACAACATTGTTCACCGTCAATTAGTTTGGAAGTCATACTTGCATGCTAATTCCGATCCAATATTCAAAGTACCATGGTAAACAATAGAGAGACTGCTAAATGAACGAAGGTGCGAATATAAAACCCACTTTACCTCCATATGCATCCTTAATCCTGTCCAAAAGCTAAACACAACTGCTACCTTACTATCTATAATAAACAGTTAATTAGTGGTTTATTAAGCTAGTTGTGTTAGTTAATGGTTTCTTAATACTGGGAATTGTGACCTAAACTAAAGTGTTACCATAGTTTTTTTTTATGAAACGTTTATGTAACGTTGTTTGCATTACACCTCACTACGAAATTGTATTATTCTTGCCATTATGTGTTTAAAATTGAGGTAAAGTTGGCTTTATATTTGCACATTAGAACTTTCTCCTTGATAATGTAATTTCAGAAAAGCATTACTTGCAAATTCTAAATAGTGAGATCATATTAGCAGACATGACTGTCTAAGTTTGACACTGTTTACTGTCAATTAAATAGTTCTAATGTTGTTTTGAAGTCATAATTAAGTGCGATTTCAGACCCAATATTCAAATTAGCGTGGTAAACAATATAGGGAATGTTAAAATTAATAAATGTGTGAATATAAAACCATTGTCAATGTCAAACTACCTCTGCTCTTTTACATTTGGCTATGATGGCTGTGTTATTAGCTGTTAGCTATGTGTGATTGGAAATTGTATTATACTTGCCATAATTTTTTTAAAATTAGGTAAAGTTGGCTTTATATTCAGACATTAGGACTTTCTCCTTGATAATATAATTTCAGAAAAGTATTACTTGCAAATTCTAACTAGGGAATCCATATTAGTAGCTGATGACTATCAAAGTACGACACTGTTTACTGTCAATTAAATAGTGCTGATGATTTGAAGTCATACTCTAATAACATTTCAGACCCAATATTCAAATTATCGTGGTAAACAATATAGGGAATGTTAAATTTAATGAATGTGCAAATTATTATTAAATTATTATTCCTGACATCTTTTGTTTTCATTGAGGTAAAGTTGGTTTTCTATTCGCACATTAGGACTTTCACCTTGATAATGTAACTTCAGAAAAGTATTATTTGTAAATTCTAAATGGGGAAATCATAGTAGTCGATGACTAATTTCTGTTTTCTTTCTTTTTAGGGACCTTTTGCAATTATGGAGGCCTAAATGTTGAATAGATTTGGGGGGAAGGAGTCTTTCCCCTCAAAGTTGGTGGACTATTTGAATGGACTATAAAGAACTGAAGGATTTGCCTTTTGTAAAATACAACACACATTAGAAGTTAACTTATTTTTGAGTCAACTGGAATATATTTATAAGATTTTGTACAGATTTGTTTTGTATTTCCTTTGATGCTGACGATAGTTCCAAATGTGTTGTGGAATGCGTGGCTGATATGGTGGACTGAGATGAGCTAGATCTTCAGTCTGGGGCCGCTAGGGTGCCGTGGAACCTCAACACATGCACAATTCTAGCGCCCCAAATTCACCAATCCATAACACATTCAGTATATTTTTTTATTATTGCTATTATTTTAAATTTCTTTCCATTGTAGTTGTTTCAGGGAAATAATTGCTTGGTAAGTCTGAGAAGTTTAACCATTAAGCAAATATTGTGTGGGGTTTGGGTTATTTTTTGGGTTTTAGTTTTGCGGGTGGGAAGCAAAAATGAATCTGGGAACTCCAGATTGCACACCGAAGTGCCGTTCTGAAAGGCACGCGGATGAAGTGATCTCAGCTTTGACCAGCGGTTCAGAGGCCTGTCTGCGGGCCTTCCTGTCTGTCCACTGTCACAATTCGGCTACTCTGCGAGATGAGTTCGGACGCACAGCTCTCCACCTCGCAGCCTCCATGGGAAAGCGGGAACTGCTTCAGTGGCTTCTGGACTGTAAACATGCTGACCTGTTGGCGAAGGACAAGGAGTCTGGCTGGACTGCACTGCATCGCAGCGCCTTCTACGGGCAAATTCACTGCCTCATAACCCTCATCAAGGTGAGAGCTGATGTCGATACAGTATAGACCACTTCAATGTGGCAATTGTCACTGGCCCACGAACATTTCCTGTTTGTTGTCAAACTAACCAACACGAAATAGGTTAGGACCATTGTTTTTTGTTTACATCCCTCAAAATGGTCTTAGGAAGAAATGATTTAATTCAGATATACATTAGAGCAGTCTTTCCCAACGCTGTTCCTGGAGAAACACCAATAGTACATATTTTGGATGTCTCCCTTCCTTAACTTCAGGTTTTGGAGTCTTGTTATGTTTTAATGAGTTGATTTCAGGTGTATTTGATTAGGGAGAGGTTGAAAATAAGTACTGTTGGTGTGCAGGGTTGGGTAACACTCATAGTCTGTAAAATATACAGTCTATGAGTGTTACACAACCCTTTCTCCATAAGACTTTCTCCAGAATAAAAAATATTATCAGACATATTGTGAAAATTTTCTTGCTCTGTTAAACATTATTTGGGAAATAATTAAAAAAGGAAGAATAATTCAAATGGGGTCTAATAATTCTGACTTCAGCTTTATATGTAATTGTCTGTATTGCAGCCTTTTTTGACGTAGTGATGTCACCCATAGGTTTCTGAAGAGCGCAAAAGAAGCCACAAGTAGGCGCGGCCAACCATTATTAGACCCCCTGTTTAATTCTTTCCCCAATTTTTGTTTAACGGAGAGAAGATTTTTTTTAACACATTTGTAATCATAATAGTTTTAATAACTCAACTCTAATAACGATTTATTTTGTCTTTGCCATGATGACAGTAAATAATATTTTACTAGATATTTTTCAAGACACTTCTATACAGCTTAAAGTGACATTTAAAGGCTAAACTAGGTTAATTTTATTAACTAGGCAGATTAGGGTAAATAGGCAAGTTATTATATAGCGATGGTTTGTTCTGTAGACAGAAAAAAAAGCTGAAAGGGGCTAATCATTTTGTCCTTTAAATGGTTTAAAAAATTCAAAACTGCTTTTATTCTATTAAGACTTTCTCCAGAAGAAAAAATATTATCAGACATATTGTGAAAAGTTTCTTGCTCTGTTAAACGTTATTTGGGAAATAATTAAAAAAGAAGGAAAATCCAAAGGGGGTCTAATAATTCTGACTTCAGCTTTATATGGAATTGTCTGTATTGCAGCCTTTTTTGATATATTTTTATTTTTTTGCAGAGTTTAATGAAGTTGTAAACAATCAACAGTCTTAATGATAATGAAAATTTTGAAATTGTGATACTAACCATCAACAAGTTGACAGTGGTTTACCTTAAACCACTAATTTACAAATTCATTTAATTAAGTTAAATGACACAAGCACACAAATTTATATCACAGTTGGTTTTGTTGCTGTTACAGATTGAGAAATTACACACTTCACCTTTTAAAGGTCCCGTGAAGTGCTTTGAAATGTGAATTTTTTTTATTTGATGTTTGACATAATCTCTACTGAAAAACGTAGAGAGGGCGGGATATAGAGTAGCTCCTCCCCTTTAAAAAAAAACATCTATTAGCGATTTGTTTTATCATAGCTCTGCCAGTGAGAGTGGTTGAGCTCACGTGCATCAAATGAAAAGTAAATGAACAGCGTGTTAAAGGGGGCGGGGGATGTCAGACACTAGAGAGCATTTGATTGGTCAAGATTTGATGAGAAACTGAAATATGAGGTGACATGAAATAAACCATTGATCTATTTAGCCGGAAGTGGCAAGCTACAAGTTTTACATGTTTATATTTTCTAAATGCCAATTTGTGTGATTGTTTTGTACCACACTAGCTTACAAATATACTTGAAGACTAACATACTGATACTAACATCTAAATAACGTTACTTTAATTTCATTGGACCTTTAAAACAAATTACAAAAATGTTCATTTTCCATTCAAAGCTGGTGGATTTTTGGAAGTTTTATATCACGTATGTGGCATGAAAGTCAGCACGAAAATGAACTTGACTCTCTATTGTCATGCATATCTGAATGAAAAGGTCTTAAAATGCAGGTTGGGAATTGATTTTGTTCATGGAGTATGGACGCAATGAGTAAATAATGTTAATTGGCCTCCTGGCTGATATATTTGAGAGCCACTGCAGGTTTTAAAACGCATTGAACTGTGGAACGGGAATCACCAGGGCTGCTTTATATTCTTCATCCATTCCATTGGTTTATTGGCTTGCATGGTTGTCTTTGATTCAAATGTGTTTGGGTCATACTTTAGAAAGGCTTCTGTTTGAATTTATTTGTTTAAAGTCATTACATTTGAAGGACTCCAGTGCATTAATTGTAATCTTTACACTTTTTATTATACTGTTATTCAAACCACTACCAGTTTTTCAACAAACAATATTTAATCTTTTTAAATGTAATTAAATGTAATATATTAAATGTTTGCGTTTCAGCGTGGAGGATCGCTGTCCATGCAGGATAAGGAGGGTCTTTCTGTGCTGGACCTGACCATGAAGGACCGTCCAGCGCATGTTGTGTATCAAAACACTGGTAATTAAATTGGTTCCATTTCCTCACTACTATTCATTTTACTGTACCAACTCTCATTTTTATATTTTTTTCATTTTTGTCAGTCTTCCTCTTCAATATCAGTGTTATAAAAAACTTTTGAGAAGTATCTATTGTTTTCATGTAGTAAAAGCATAGTAAGACTTTACATTAAGGTTAAGGCATTAGTAAATATGGATTAACACATCTGTTAACCATTACTCAATCTATATTTATGTTAACTAAACATATATTAGCATGTTATTTAATATATATATAAAGGGGACCTATTATGCAAAAATAACATATAAGAGGATTAGGGTGCTTTCACACTATCACTTTTGGTCCGCACCCGGGTTCATTTGACGTCATAGTACGGTATGTTTAGCTAGTGTGTGAACGTCTGCAGAAACACTTTGGCCCCGTTTACACTAGTGCATTTTAGTTCTAAAACGGCGTTTAAGATTGTAAACGATCCGCGTCCACACTAGCGTTTCACCTAGCGTCTCTGAACATATCTCCGTCCACACTACGCCACCAAAAACGTATATCACGTGACCATTCGCGCACTCTGGGCATGCGCGTTCTAGTATTAAAAAAAAAGCATGCGTCTTGCTCGGCATTTGGTTACTGTTAGTCAACTACCGCCGGTTAAACATTAAACACGATGGCAAAGAAAGCGAGGTCGAGTTGTTACTAAACGTAACAAATGAATAATTGCACAATGACGCCTAAAACAGACAATAGTGCAAACAACGCTCCCATTTCTGTGCCCATGTTGTTGTTTACAGTACTGTCTTCCGGTAGGGTTAAAGCCATGTGTTATAGGCATGTGATAGGGGCTTAACGAATAAGGGAAGCATACGCAATGACACAAAAGCCCCAATCAGGTAGCGAATCTCAGCAGCCCCGCGTCAGTATTCAGATGTCTCCGTTTTTCCTCATCCACACTGAGACAGAGCAGCAGCGTTTCAGAATGAAAACAGGCTCTCCAGCGTTTTCAAAACGCTCCATTTTCGGCGCTCGAGAACTCCGGCGTATTGTGGACGAATGGCATAACCGTAGCAAAACTTATGCATTTTCAAACTAAACGCATTAGTGTAAACAGGGCCTTTGATTCACATTCTCCCTTTGTGTGTGTTATCAGAAGGGGAAAGCCCCACCCATCAATAATAATTTCTCTCTCATTAGCATTGACGGCCCTAAGTGAGAAGCAGCCGTCCGCCAATAGAATTTTGAATCTGCTGCTATGGTACCACTTGGACATTTATAGCTCCACCCTTTTCAAAAGAGAGGGCTGGGAATACAATCTCATTTAAATTTAAAGTGACAGTCACCAAAAACGGCACAATAGGATTAAAGCCTAAAATGGAGCAGTTTCAAAGAGTTATAAAACATTATCTTTGCGGTATTTTGAGCTGAAACTTCACTACACGTGGTAGGAGCGTCAGAGACTTGTTTTGCATCTTGTAAAAGAGGGCATAAAAGGTCCCCTTAAATGTTAACTAACTCATATTTTAATGTATCTCTTTACATTTGTTAATTGATAGGTCATGTTTTCTAAAGCATTAACTCGTGTATTAGACACTAAATATGTAATGTTAATGTGAACTCAAATATAGTACGTTTTGGTAACTGTTTATATGTATAAGTATTTGGCAGTCCTTTATAACTTGCATGCTGTTATTTTCCACTCAATAAATAAGAGTGGAAAATAACAGCATGCAAGTTATTCAAATAAAATATGTTAAATATGTTTCCTTAAATCAATACTTGTCACAGGTCAGGTTTCTCTATGTTTATAAGTTCTTCAAAGTGTAATACTTTGATAAACTGTAGTGTAATACTTCCAAAGAAGCATGATTATCTCCTTATCTCATAGTAAAATCTTAGTTTGCTAGACATTTATTCATCCTTTTTGAGTTGTTTAAATGGTGTAAATCTGAAGACTGATGAAGACCCTAATAGTGTATATACCACGAGACTTTAAAAGCTTAATGGTGCTATTGACCTTAATCTTCGAGTATGAGCAGATGCAGCCATTTGAATCTTTTTGGCTCAAGACTTCGTTCGCTTCTATTCATTTTTAGATGTTAAAAACAGCTCGTTATGCTGCTTTGTTGCAAATTGATATATTTTTTAATCATATTATTCTCCTTTTTATCTATAGTCATGAACACACTTGTTTGTAGAGCAAGTAGTTTGACCGTTTTCTGCCGTTTATTATTCCTAGTCATTTCCCCCATAAGTTTTAAAACAATTGCAAAAACAAGCGCACTTCCACATTGCAGTATAAGGTCAATAAATTGGGCTTCAAATAAAGTGGAGGCTTGCACTCAGAAACAAATAGCAGATGAACAAATGGATCATAGTTAGGCTTTATTGACTTTAGTCTTCTGTCGGATCTCATTCCAGACCCTACTGAAGTGTACACTTGGGGGAACAACACCAATTTCAGCTTGGGACATGGAAACCAGGAGAGCAGACAGCATCCTGAGATCGTGGATCTGTTTTCAAGATCTGGAATCTATGTGAAGCAGGTAAATATTAAGGTTTATAGTGTCTTTAAGGTCAATCATGTTCAATATTTATTATGTTCATATCATTTTTGTACAAGACATCTTAATTTCAAGCAAAATGTGGTTTGAACTGTGAGGATCAAAAAATAAATCAATATTTATTTATTTTTTACATTTTTAAAGTGACAACAAAGTAATTAAAAATTTTAATTAATAATAAAGGATTTAAAGTGTTCAGTTAATCAGTGTTTGGTTTCAGGTCATATTGTCCAGTCCTATTGTTTGTAAGAGCTCAACAGTGCTTACTGATGTAGATAATACCTTCCTTTGGAGTGGACTTTGTAACTTGGCAGATCTTTTTCATGCTCAGTATCGGCGCATTAAATTAAGTTGCTCATTCAGGCTGAAGTTTAATTTAGTTTAATATCCATTTTGTCTGCTGGCTTTTGCCTTTAGATGTTTTTTCAGCAGTGATAATATGGACACTCTTAAACTTGTAGTCCTTCTGTTGGAAACTCAGAAGCAAGGAGAAGACTTTAAGGTATCTTCAAGCAGGATTCTTTATTCAGAACTTGCTGATGACATCCAAGTCTAACTTGGGTGGAACTTGCTTTTTGTGTTATGCTGTGTTCACACCAGATGCGGAACGCGCAGATAAATCGCGCTATTCGCACGTAAATAGCCGCGTGAACATTTGAGTTTACTCGCTTCATTCGCGCGCCAAATCCGCTTCATTCACGCGTCAAAATCACTTCAGAACAAACGCAGATTCGCGTGATGGGCAGGGCTTCTGTCTGCCCGGTGACTCTAGCTTCATTGCTAAATGGCTGACATGGATTTTATGCAGAAAATAACAGTGTTTATGTGCTTTATGAAGACTGAAAAACAGCGTCGATACGTTTAGGGTCGTGTCTGAGTCCACTTCATCCTTTCAGAGGTGCATCCAGCTCTGTGAGCTCATAAACTCCTCCAGAAACTGAACCTGGCTGACGGAGGCTTTCAGCGGTGCTTCTGACTGAGCCCAGCCCAGTTTAATGAACTTCTTGTCGGTGTCGGCTGGAGGATTCCCCCTGGGGCACCCACAAAAGGCGATAAATCACAATCACGCCCCCACAAGAGCAAGCTCCTGATTGGTTAACGCGGCGCGAATGTCAGCTGAAGTTCAGATTTTCGAACTTGAGTGATTTGATGCGTTAAGCGCATCAAACCAGCAAAACGCTCAATCCGCGCGTATTGTGCCATTCACGCGTATCGATCGATTCACACCGCGCAATTCGCGTCATTTGTGCGTGTTGCGCCACAGAATGTCTATTCACGCGTTTGCATTGACTTAACATGTAAATTACTTGCGCTTGATGCGCGTTCCGCGTCTGGTGTGAACGCAGCATTAGGAGGAATCTTTTTGAATCATTTTCCAATGGCTGCAAATGTCTTGAACATTTGTTATGTGCCCTGCGTGGCTTTCATTTAACTGGCTGCTGTGCCTCGTGCTTTTGCCATTGCGCTCTGTGCGCCTGTATTTAAAAAAAAAAAAAGAAAAGCCAACTCTAAAGCAGAAAAAGCGTGCTATGTCTGCTGCATCCATTTTCATTGTCCAATCAAATGAAAGCAGAGGCAGAATTTCCATTGAGGTGACAGCAGTGTTTGTCTTGTCAAGATGAGTGGTTGCCTACGGTATCAATTTCCCACCTTAAATACTGTGGTCGCAAATAGACAAAAAATGGGCGTAAATCAAAATATTGACATTGTGTATAAAATTATAATGCAGTAATCGCGGATCAATTGTTACCGGCCCGCACAAGATATCAATAATTACGTCCATTTTATTTATTATGCGAGTCATTTTGAAAAATGACCATATTCTCTCATATTCTCTCACTTACATCTCGGTCACTTGTAACCCATAAGCAGCAAAATGAGTAATAAACAGACGTCTTTAGGAAGTTTCTTTGCTAGGGGGAAAAGGCCCAGTAAAGGACCCACGAACTGCCCAGGAATGGATCCGCAACGCATTTGTCAACAAATCAGGTGAATCCACCTGTTCAGGAAGATCAGCTGATGGAGATAGCAAATGACAGCGGCCTTTTAGGGGCCGTTCACATATCACGTCTTTAATAGACTTCGCACAAGTTCGTTGTGGAGGTGACGCTCTAACACTTTTCAGACCAGACACAACCAGTTGAATGAATCCTGCGAGTGCACTGCGAGTCACGTGACAAGAATTGACTGATCAGCTTTAGCTTATATGGAATATATACATTTTGGTAGACTAATCAGCTCAGACAAACTCAAAACACCCGAACACTGCACTGCTTTATCCTTTCCATATATAAAAAAATGGAAAAACTATTTTGTCTTAACGTGTTTTTATTTTTGATTCGCGTTCATTATGGCCTTGTTGTTTTTTACGGTGCTTTTACACCCGTAAATCGATTCAGTTGTTCCGAAACAGAGATTACAATTGTTACATTGTTGTTCTTGGAGCGGTTCGCTTTCACACTGCAAAGTTTCTAATCGGACCAAAAGAGCTAAAACAAGTCACGTGCGAGTAAACTCTCCTCACATTGGTCAGAGTGTCAGGGTTTATTTTGCAGAGTCCCGCTCAGCTGTCAGGAGAGGTGGTGGTTTGGTGGTGATTGAGAAGGTTTGCGCGCGTGCGACATGTCTGAGGAGAGACTTGGTGGGGAGGGGTGAGAAGGGTGCGGGACGATGCCTTTTTGAGGACTGCGAGGGAGACGCGAGATTAGCGGGAGATCATCACTCATTTGCGGGCATCCGGAGACTCGCAAAACTTCCCGCCTTACTCATAATTCTCTTTTCATATAGTCGTATGCCTATATTACATATTCATAAAACACTGTGATATAACCGCGCTTGGATCGGATCGCTTACTCACTGCAATCGAACCGCTCCAGGGTTCGTTTCAATCGAGGGGAATGGCGCGGAACAGAGCGCGATTGCCCTGTTCACATATGCCAAACGAACCGCGTTAACTGGGCAAACGAGACATGTTCGGAAACAAAAGTGTAGGTGTGAAAGCACCCTTAATCTGCGTTTAGTTTCTGGTTTTGCATGTTATTATTTTCCACGTGATGTCAATATTTTGATTTATACGCACTTTTTTTTCGCAACCACAATACTTTAGGCGGGAATTTGATCCCATAGTTGCTTAGCGACATAAAAAGCACAGTGCTCTTTTTTTTTTCTTGTCAACAAAAAAGGCAGCATTGCTGGGCAGCAACTCAATCAGCTGCCTATTGTGCACGAGCACTACTGCTGTAATGGTCTGCCTCTGCTTTCATTTCATTGGACAATGAAAATAGAAGTGTCTAGCATTGCATGCTTTTTCTGCTCAAACTTTTTTTTCAGATGCTCAGAGCGTAATTCAAAAAACGTGTGGTGCAGCAGCAGGCGGTTACCTGAGGCACGCAGCGTGCAAAACACTCATCGCCATTAGAAAACCTTTAAAAAAAGTGCCTTTGATTGTGAAAAGTTTGTTTGAAGTGATCGGCCACGAGATGCGAGGCATTATTAAGCGTAATGCGTCCGTCCAGAGTTTGTTTACTTGAAAAACAATAGAAAATTAGCACGTTCTGTGTAAACCACCCCTTACACTGTAATTATACACTTGTTAGGGGGCTGTGCTTAAAGGTGGAGACAGAATTAGCATGAACATTTGAACAAAGAATGTAAAAAAAAAAATAAAAAGATGAAAGGCTCTTGTATGGACTCTGATGTTTCACCCACACGGATCTAATCACCAAAATTGAGTCTCTCAGACATTTGCATTATCACAGATTTACACTTAGGAGTGTTGCACTGACAACATCTCCACTTGAAAGTTAGCAGGGGAACTAATAAAACTTTAAAGACAGTCACAGTGACCTGACTCATTCAACATAAAAATGGAGGAAAAACAGGCCAAGCAAAAAAAAAATAAATAAATTAACTTAATGAATGTACCATGCTTACAGTATTAAAAAACCACCAGCTATGTTTACATTTTATTTCTCCACTTCTGCTGATGAGGCATTTAGCGTTTTGAAATCTTCTCCTGCATTCCCCGTGGTGCGTTCAGTCTAGCAGGGCCTAAATCTCCCCAGGGTTGTGTGTGACAACAAGAGGACGGTAAAAAAAAAAACAGAGGACTTGCTGGTGTTGTCTTGATAACAGGCTCCTCACTGGGACCTGCTTAAAAACAAACATCTCAAAGGGTCTTTGCAAACCACCTGAGGAAACTTAGACCTCTTTGTTTCCCTGTAAATTGCGCTTGAAAATGAATTCCCTCAAGGATGAAAATGACCTTCCTGCTGTTGAAGAGACTCTCTTTGTGCTGGACCTTGCACATGTTGCAGATGTCACTCCTCTTTTTCACCACAGAGTTTCCAGTGCTGGTTTGAAGCCAAATTTTTGTCTTTCGGCACCCAAAGCACTAGCTTTGAACCTAGAAGAGTGGTTCTCAAAAGGATAGTTCACCCGTTTCTCACCCTTCACAATTTTTTTTTTGGTCTGTTGAACACTAAATATATTTTGAAAAATTCTGGTATTCATTGTCCTGCATGGTGGTTGTTTATGTCTATGGAAGTCAATGGTTGCCAGCAACCAGCATTCTTCAGAATGGCAGTTCGTAATATGCTTTCTTCAGCATTCTTGCGTCCTTGAGTTCTCGTGTAACGTCATCAACCGATAAAGTTCAGTTCCAAAACTCAAGACTGGAAGAACGAAGGGCGCTTGAAAGTTCCCGAATGCGTTCTTGATATTGAGGATGCAGACTTGAACGCAAAATTAGCTTTAGAAGTCTCAGAAGTAATTTCGGCTGAATAAAGGAGGTGTGAAGCGCAGCATTTTATATACAGTAGATTTATTATTGAAGTTCAGATACATATATATATATATATATACATATATTTATACATATATATATATACATACATATATATACATACATATATATATATATATATATATATATATATATATATATATGCACTTTTTTTTGTCTCAGGAGTTTCACTAAATGA